CAGATTCCTACTGTGAGTTTAGCCTTGTTATTATCAGTATTTTATAGTGATACATGCTTGCTTGGTACATTCTGTTCTTTTTTATGCTGAAAGTTTGTAATAGGATAAAATCTCATGCAGAGCTCTACTTTAAGAGATGAATTGAAAATGTTAAATCATTTCCTGATTTCTTTTTGAGACAGTTTCATATACTCCAGACAGGACTAGCATTCATTATATATGCCAGGATGACCTTGAACTCCTAATCCTTCTGCTCCTGACTCTTAAGTTCTGAGAGTACAGGTGTGAGTCATTATATTAGCTATATTCTCAGGTTGTAAAGATTCATATTGAACTTTTGTTTCCTAGAACACAAAGAAAATGAGTCAGTATTCCGGCTTTAGACTCAGAGGGTTTATTCTTGTATAAGAACTTTGGATTGCATGAAGAACAGCATGGTTTCAATATCTTACATGTGCAAACTTCAAGGTCATCTTAGCTGTGTTTATTTGATTCAGGTTACATTCAAAAAAGATTACCATTTTCCATTGGCATAGTATGATCTACATAGTACTTCATTTAATTATACCAGGGAGAAAGAGGGGGACAGTAGATATAACAGGGACTTTTTTGTAAGGCAGAGGATGAGGAGATGCTTTGTTGGAGGGTTGTAATGGTTAAGATAAGTTTGGATAGTCTTTTAATTTGGAAAGGTCAGAATTAAGAAATCTATATCCGTTTATATTTACTTAAACACATTCTACTTCTAAAGAAGTACTGAGAAAAATAAAATAAAACTTAAAATGGATAAAAATAGCGCAATGACCATGGGCCAAAGTCAATGTTTAGTTATATTAGAACATGTACTGTAATGATAAAGCATGATTTTAAAACACCCTTACAAGTATGAGTTTCTTGAAAGCCAAGGCATGAAGAGAAAAAGACTGAGTTATATAGTTGCACCTGTGCAATAAAAGGGAAGCTAATGAGTTTAGCACAAGACATTTCTCAGCTCTGAATAAGGTGAATTGACCCTTTAATATCAGCATAATTAATAGTAATTTTGCAAAATGCAGACTTCTCTTTATATGCCCAATGGCTTTTAATATTATGAAAAATTAAATGAATAATATTATATTGTTTTAGATCTATGAAGACATTCATAAACATTATAAAAATCAAATATAAGTATGTGGGTAGTTTAATTCATAATCTAACACAAAGTAGGGATAAAATTTCTGGATTAATAGTCATCAAACTAAATTTTCAGTAGAGAAAAATCTTATATAGTATATAATTACAGTTTTCAAGGATAATGGACAGTAGAACTCCTTAGGTGGACTCATGTTTGATACCTGAAGTTGTACCTGCTTTCACCCTTTGCATGCACCACTCCAGTCCTAGAAGCTTCACAGGCACCTGGAGAATCCACAGGGGCTCATGAACTACTGAATGAAAACATCACTGATGTAGAGAAATAGGTGACTGATATTTCACTTAGAGACTCCCTTTCAAACAGTTTTGCTTATTGGTCTGTAAAGAAAAGATTCTCAGGCTATATTGGTAAGTACCAAAGGCACGAAAGTTTTATATCATTAATTGAACAGAGAAATACACGTCCTAGGTACTAGCTACATGGTTAGAAAGTCTGATGTATGTAAACTGAAAATTCTCCCTTATGGTCATATTTAAACAGAATGAACTACAGAACACATAGGCAGATAGTAATCTATACCTATGTGCTAACATGTACTCATACATATGTTCACAAGCCCATTTAAACATTTAGCCAACTGTTTCCTTGCCAGATGCTTGAACAGTCATTTTATTGAGACTCCTGAAAATTTGTACCATAAAAAATGAAAAAGCTGACTAATCTTTTGGATTGAAGGATTTTTAGTGCTAACTGTAGATTATGCATTTATGGAAAGTGCTGAGTGTAGATTGTAAGATTTAGTAATAAATCTGCTGGAGTCATACACCTGTAACCTTAAGCAGACCTGTATTCAGATAGGTTCACCAGGATGTTAACTGTCAAATTCAACCTAGAGACAAGTGAATGAATTGAGTTGCAGGACACCAGATGTTGTAATGTTCTGATGGAGTTAGTGAGTAATGGTTCCTAAAAATGGACACTCAACAGGTTCCTAGTCTGACTTTTAAAAACATATGGTAAAGATGATTGTAAATAAGTTAATTTTTGATCACCAAATCTATTCTTTGAAAAATGATGTTTCTTTAAAAATGATTAAATATACAAATATACAGAAAATATATAAATGGAAATTAAGACATCAAAGACACAAAGGCAATCCTACATTCCAAAGCAGACTGGTGAGTAGTCTGCTAGTATTTTTGTGTTGGTTTTTTTGTTTTGTTTTGTTTTGTTTTGTTTTACTTTTTGGACACGTATCATATAATTACAATCACGTATGTGTTACAGTTCAACACTTTCCTTGTACCATTTTCCTTCACATTTCAAGATTCTATTTTAGTGAAAACATCTTATTGAGTTAGATAGATGAATCAGAATTTATTATCAGAATTATTGAGCGGAGACATAAATTGACGTATTTTTACATTATAAAAATCCTATGGTACATATTTTTAAATATCTGTCTAGCCATTTTCTCGGGTTGGATTCCCAATGTGAGATTACTGAGTCAAAGAACAGAAGTGTTTTCAGACCATTTTTGCATAGTTTGCTCACCGTATGAATTTTGCCAACTCATACTTCCACTGAAACGGCATGTGTGTTGTTTTCTTGCCATAGAAATTCCCTAATTAGAGAATGTGTTCAATGTAAAATTGCATAAAAGAGTATGCCATGAAAGGGAGGTGGTTTTATTTCTTTTACATTACAGTTTTTATTAAGCAAATAAAATATTGTCTTGCCAAGATCCTATAAAGTGATGTCAGTTATCAGCATGTAAACATCTTTCTCAAATGCTAGAAAACATTCTTTTTAGGTTGGTAAAGATAGCCATAGTGATCTTGCAGTTGATTTACAGTATTGATTTTTTAATATATTGAGAATGTCCAACAACATTATATTTGAATTATCACAGTGCATTGATAAGTTAATGTACTTTAAAATATTTGACTGTAACCTAAAACCAGTAGTAAAATTATACTTGTTCTTTTTGGTCAGTCTTATTTTCTTTAAATATTTAACAAATTCTACCTCTAATAATTTCCCTGCAAAAATGAAAATGTTTAATCATGTTTTCACTGGACTCAAGGAATGCTATGTGCTCCCCCAAAAGAACAGGAAATAGTCACAATTCATTTTAATGTAATGAAGTCTTATGGAATTAATTCAATTTTATATTGACAAAATGTTTTCATCATTAAAGTTTATGAGTCAGTGACTTATAAGGTGTCATACCAAATCCAAGATGGTTGTATTGGCTGCTTAAAAATGCAATATTGGTACTGCCTAATGTATCTGATCAGACTATTTGGATTTTGCCTGTGGTTAGTGCATATTAACTAGAGGTTATTATTTATGAAAATATTCAAATAAAAATTCAGAAAACTATTCAGGTGTGATGGTGCATACTTTAATCCTAAAACTCAGGAGGCAGAGCAACGTCTGTGAGATCAAGGTCAGCCTGGTCTGCATAGTGAATTCCAAACCACTTAGGGCTGCAGGGAAACCCTGTTTCAAAAAGCAAAACAAAACAAAAAATAAAAATAAAAAATCATAAAACTTAAAAAATTAAGAAAACTGACAGAATTAAATTGTTTTTCTTGATATTACCAAATAGGATTTATGATATATGTTAAATATTGTTATCTTAACATACCTAACCTGACTTCAGAGATGTTAGACACAAACTAAGGAAATTGGTTATTTATAGTAAAACTGTTGCTTTCCGAATTACTTAGTTCACAGATAACTTGATGGGTGAGTGCCTTCTAACAAAAGCTGATAGAAATTTCTGGCTCATTTTGGTCTTTATGCTTTTCTGTTTCTTCATAAATGCAGAAATTTCTAAATTTGTCCAACAGCTGTGTTTGAAAAGAAAATGGACAGTGGGAGACTTTTATGTTCCAGGTTTTCCTTTTCAGCATTATTGTTTCTTTTGAATTTTTCCATGCTTTGAATGTTCCAAATAAGCACTCATATTAGAGGAGCCTCTAGCATCAGAATTGTTGAGAGCAGATGTTATAACAAATTTAAACCTCTCAATAGGATGCTAGTCTGGCCTAAACTAGAAGAGGGTACAATGGCTTTCAGCCAGGGAGGACTCTGGACACGATTCATGTTGTGGTTCAGCAGTATCATACCAAGGAGAGGAAAGGAGACTCTTCATTTCTAATTGGAAATTTTACTTTCAAATAATTCTTGGATTGGTGACCATTACTTATGGATCAGTGTGTCAGTACAACTGTCATTAAGATGATATGGAATTGGACTATTTGAAAATGTGTAATTTAAATAAGTAGTCTCAATTTGGAAAAATACATCATAGTGGTATCACTGTCAGAAGTGGTCAGTAGCAATGGATGTGATCAAGAATAAGACTGAGCCACACAAGTCATCAAAAAATCAGCACCAATAAAGTATCTCTTCTCTGTCTCATGGTTGCCTATTCTAGGTTCTTATGACTTCTTAAATGTGTTCTTCATGTATACATTTTAGAATTGCCAGAATGTATTAGAGAATCCTCTCATTTTAATTCACTATAAGAAGCAGTATGCAGGATATCTTTGATATTTTGATTACTATGACCATAGTGCAACACACCAGAAAATAGTAACAAAGTTCTAGTTCCATAATGGTTTTTTGTATGCAAAGCTTACCATACTATCAGGTAGGTAAGCTTTGTATAGAACAAAATCTGAACAAGCCATTATGCATTGACCTAGGGAAAATGGTCTAACTCTGTGATTCCTGGGAACATTGTTCTGTCCTTGGGTAGCATTAACTATGTCATGCTATGAATTCCAGATGTTATTATGTTCTTTCAAATCACTACTTCAGTTTTTCAATATGGATTTCTTTCTTTCCTCAGGGCCGGTGCATCAACTTCTCCCGAGTTCCACATCAATAAGAGGAGAACAAGAAGATACGAAGACAGAACATTTTCACGATGCTGATTTCCACCCAAATGAGAAAAGTCGAGTGCATCTTCGAAGCTCTTGGAACAGCAGCTCAATTCCTGTCAGGAAATGTTTTCTCTGCCTTCTGCTTTACTTGCACCAAACATTTTTAAACACTTGTTCTGCCATCTACATGAGGAATGATGAAACTCAGTGATAACTCAAGATTCATGACATTGAAAATAAAGGAAAATGTTAATCTGCATGCTACGGTTTATGGAAGACAGCTTGTTTGAATGTGTAGAAGAGGACAAAGAAACCACATCAACAATGTCAAGATGACATAAAACCAGGTCCACAAAACAACCAGCCACGTTGAGTCTTCATAGAGATGGGTGCTTTTAACATGGAAGCCTGGCACTTGTCTTTTTGTTTGGTAAGATCTTTAGCTTTAGGCAGAACATGAAATTTCCCACCAGGCTGAATAAATAACAGAGCCATTGCCTTATAGCTATGTCAGATAGCAAAACCTTTCAAGACCCTTATCACAGTGTGCCTTACGGGAAGTTTCTGACCAGAGAATCTTGTCATTGTTACACTGAAAAGTGCCATGCATGACAAAATACAGACAAGATGCCTCAAGGTATGGGTAGCAAGAAAGATTTTGCCCTTTAGTTTTCCAAGACACCTTTATTTCATTATGCACTTGGGATAAGAGAATTAATAGAGCGTTATTCCACAGGAAGAATGCCTCCAACCAAAGACCTGGAGTGGAGTTTAAGGACTTGTAATGTGAGACTGTGTCCCCACGCCTGATAGATCTATTGCTTTCTCAGTATTGAGGATTTAGTAGTGCATAAAGCATTGCTATGTGTAAACATCCTAGGAATTTGTTTTGTTATTAATTTAAAGGAAGCAGTAACTACAAAGCTTCCGCTCAGGGTTTTTTCTTCCTTCAAATCTCCAAGGGTTCTTCAACGTCACAAGCCAGCAACTTTCTTTGCATGAAAATTTCAAAGTTTAATTAATATAATTAAAGGCAACAGCAAGCAGCAGCCTGTGAAGATTTTGCTCATCTTTTTTATGCCTTTTGACATTGAATGACCTATCACTGTTTGCGTATTACTTGGATTTTGAGGAGCACTGCACCTTGGTTCTGATTCAGCAAGAGAAAAAGGCCTCCTTTCTTCATTTTATAAATTAAATTCAGGAGGGTCACCATCAAAAAACATTGACAATGTATGTACTATAATTTTTTAGAAAAATCGTCCTTGTGTCACATCAACGATGCCAAATTATGTTAGCCTGAGCAGAAACACTGCGGGGGAGGAAGAAGTCAGCAGCTGAAGAAAGCAGCTCAAATGATCTAGTCACTTTCGATACTGTACTTCAGATGCGAAATGGATATTCAACTGGATACCTGACAAAGCACGCCTGCTTTGATGTGGACTGGTATAGACAATGACCAGTGCCTGGGTCAGTGGGATGTCTCTCTGTGAGCACAAAGGCTTATCAAATGACACTAAAAATAAGTTCAACAACCATCACTTTGGAAGGGAGACAGCAAATGCTTCATGTTTGGCGGGCATGTGCATGCAAAAGATGAGAAGAGCAATTTGGAGAACCCTGGTATAATCACCCCATTGTGGTCTTAACAGACATTTCAAAGGACAGAGTGATTTTTTGTTTGATGTCCAGGTTTGTGGCACTCCTCCAAGAAGCCTTATGCAAACACACAAATATACACACGCATACATTTATTCTCTGCCTGGAATCATTTTTGCTCAAGCTTATTATTTATGTCACTGACTGGCTGGATCCAAAGTCACATGTCCATATATTAATAAATAAATTTTAACTGTGTCTGTGATATCACTTTCTTTTTAAAATATTTTTATTTATTTATTATTTTATTTTATGTGTATGCATGTATTGCCTGTGTGTAGGTAAGTGTACCTGTCTCGTGTAATGCCCTCGGAGGACAGAAGAGTCTGTCGGATCCCCTGGAACTGGAGTTACCAACAGTTATTAGCTGCCATGTGGGTGCTGGGATTTGAACCCGGATCTTCTGCAAGAACAACCAGTGTTCTTAACCCCTGAGCCATCTCTCCAGCTCCTGATATCACTTTCTTTAATTTCACATGAAACTTATTCTCTCCTTGGTTGACAGTACAACTGTTGTGATTAGTTTCAGGACGGAATTCTATTCATGCAGCATGTTCACACTTGATGCTAAGTGCAATGTGGAAGACTGATAGAATACACCAGACTCTATCTGTAATGAGTTCTTGTAGACTTTTTTTCTGTATTGCATCTGGATCAGGGCCTCTTGTTTCTTTCTTCAGTGGATTCTATTTCTGATCTGTGTGTAACCATCAATGATATTATAAGAGCATCAAAGTTACTAAAGAATCTATGGCTTTATTACTTTGGTAATCACTCTAAATTTCTACAGAATAATATAGTATTTCACACAATGAGAAATATAAATAAAAGCTTTCTTCAGATTTATGTACTGGCTGGAGATGTATACTAAAAATACAACAAAGAGCCGTAAAGGAAAAGGGTAAGTCATGAATCTATATATAGACTGAGAAATTATCATTCCGAAGGTTCAAAGACAGATGGAACTTCATCACCCTTAAAGTTATGAACCAATTAGTGTTGTGTTTTAATCTGGTGACTCTAACCAGAGATGAGAAGAATTTGTTTTTCCTTACTGAAGACTACATCAAAACTCTCTATGTGATACTTTTCATATATGAGAAATAACTCCTGTGTAATTGATCTGGACATAATGTCAGTCAAGATCTACTTCTGTTTACAAACGAATAAGTTGTATCCATCCGTTTGTATTGCATAAGGTTGCAAAAACAATTAAGTGGGAAATGACTCCTAACTTATGTGTCTCCTCTGCCTAGAAAGAAAGTTTTGAAGGCATCTATATATATTTCATAACAATGTCTGTTCTTTATGGATTTGATCCATAAATATTTATCTATCTGAAAATTTTGATACTTGGAATGTTTTCCTTAAAGCATTTGGTGCTCCAAGAAGAAACATTTGGTGCTAAGAGTTGCAGTGATGATGCCTTTCCCTGAGTTAATTCTATTTTAAAAATTTATATTTCCTTCCCAATGAGATGCAGAGCAAAATTTAAGACTATCCACTGAGTAGGGAGCAGCACCTGTCATCTCTGGATAATTACTATTTTCTCAAAAATATATAAGATTTAGAATTTGTATTTCAAAATTTTAGGACATAATTTGCTTAGATTTCTGAAGAACTTTGTTCTAACCATTTAAATTAGAAGTTATTCTTTATTCATTCTTTTAAAAATATACCCAAGTTGGATATAAGATCTAAGTGTCTCTGTGAGCTTAGCTTCATTATTTGAATATTGTTGATTATTATTTACAGAGTTGTATTTACGTGCTTATTTTAAGATTGAAACAAAAGCTGTATTATGGCTAAAAAGTTATTGGAGACATTTCTGATGGATTGGCTTACAGATGTTAAATTTGAAATTTAATAAGAAAATGTAATTACATTATAAATACAAGTATTAGAAAGCATTGAAACAGCTTCATATGTATTTTCTGGCTAACTTTTATTAGATTTTTCATTTAGTAAAACATTAGGGCTTTTAACCAACTCTAATAATGACCAAAATAATTTGGAGGCTATATGTACACACAGAGGAGATGTGTAAATTCTCTCTATAAATTTGTGCACATAAACTTTAATGTTACATTAATTATGTAATATAGATGCTTAGAGTAATTGGTGCATCTGTTGTATAGGTAAAGAAAGATTAGGCCAGTGAGGCTAAAGAATGTTACCTGTAGTCAGAGAGGCCATAGTCTGGTCTCATTAGATTAATGTTATACCCAGTCAATTTCTATAGCATATGAGAAAATTATTTGTGTGTCAGATGAGTTATTTTTCAAGGTTTTAAACATTAGTCATGATCCAAAGTAAATTATAAACACGATTGAAATGTATATTTAAGTAAATTCAATTTAAATAGACAAGAATTAATTCCCAGAGCATAGACATTAGAAGGATATGCATGGCCTGACTGAACGGTATAGAAGGTGACTGTAAACAATTTAAATGGAACAAATAGGACTAAGCACTTTCAAAGCCATAGATGACAGAGAAAGGAAATCATTGCATCATGTGCTAAATTGTAAGCAAATCTAAATCTTTGTCATGCTGCATACTCCATCATCTCATTTGTTAAAGTGCTTGGGGAAGGAAAAACTCGAAATAGAAGCCCAAACTGACCAGTTCTAGCAGATGACACCTGAAAATGGAATGTTTGTCTTTTGAAATTCTGAAGTGAAACGAGATGATTACCATGCTCATACTAAAGTTTTCTTTTGACTTCTTTTATATTTTTGAACATTTTCTAATTCTAAAAGTCACTGCTAATTAAACAGAGCAATGACAGATCTTCATTTTCTTTAAATACTTTGTTTGTGTGAGGCTGTCACAGAGAAAGAATGATTATATTTTAAACAATATGTTCAAGTGTAAAACTCTTCAACAAATTCTTAATGTTTTTTCTAATGGGAAATCAAGAGGTTTATAATGAGCAGCTTGAGATTCTTCATAAGGAACAGGATATTTCAGAAAAATTGAAAGGATTTAAATAATTTTCTAAGGGTATCAGATACTATATTTTGACTTATAGTGTTCAGTGCATTTTTATGAAGTTTAGTGGTATAATTGGAGTACAACAGCACAACACTAAAGAACAGCATTGTCACAGCATTAATGGTAATTTAGCAAGTCTGTATTTCCCACTATCCAGAATCCACAGTGGTGATGTAGTTCCATTAGAAATCAATAATTTTAAAAGTTTTTATCAAAATTACTGAGAAAAGCCTATTCCATGAGACAAAAATTATATCATTTATTGGATCTGAGTAAATTATATTCCTCAAATCTCTCAAATAGTCAGAAACATGCTGGGCATCATTTTTTTTTTTTTTAAATTTCCCTTAACTTTAAAAATCAGTCTGGGGCCGGGGTGGTGGTGCACACCTTTAATCCCAGCACAGAGGCAGGTGGATCTCTGTGAGTTCGAGGCCAGCCTGGTCTACATAGTGAGTTCCAGGTCAGCTGGGGCTACAGGGAGACCCTGTCTCAAAAAGACCAAAAAAAAAAAAAATCGGTCTGATAAATCTCAACCCAAGGTTACTACTGCATATGTCCATAATTTCTAGCTTTGAGAAACTCTTAATACCAATTAAACTGAACAGAATTTTTAAAATCATTTTCCTATGGTAACTCTAGCAAATTTCCAGACTAAATGTGGCTCAATTCAGCACAAATATGTTCTTTCCTAATTCTGGATGTCAGAAGTTCAAAATCACTTTCGATGAGCTCACATTGACTTTTCAGATAGATTTGTTCTTTCTGAGAGCTCTGAGAAGTTAAATCATTTATTTGAATTTTCAGCTTTTATCACTGCCTTTATTCTTTAGCTTGGGTTCTCTCATCCATCTTCAAAGTATTTCACACCAACCTGCTGAAGTCATCACAATACTCCTTGCCTCTGATTCCCTACCTCCCTGTAAGTACCACTGTGACTGTTCTTTGATTACTCATATAATCCACTAAGATGATGCCTGCTGAGTAGCAATCAAAGGTTCTGGGGAAGAAGTCATGAATGTGGGAAAGCCATTCGTCCACCACAATCTCAGACCAGTTTTCCTGTAAGTAATATTTTCTTTGAATTTATCACCATAAGGAACATACAAGCTAAGCTCAGCTTTCTACATTAGATCCTCACCTGTCCAAATTATTTTTCTCTTGCCAAGCTATGATGACTTGGGGTGGGAATAAGGCCTTTATTTGTCTCCATTCCATGGTGTTATATTTTACTTGAGACTTCTCACAAAGAGTGAAGCTAAGGAATCCCTTTTTGGAAGATATTTGCTAGAAGAAAAATCTCCCAGAAGCCTGTGGGCGGATTCTGTTTCTACTTGAGCACTTTCTTGCCCTTTCTTCAGAAGCTGGGAAGTTACCCTAAATTATCCCTGTAAAACTTTCACCTGTCATTCTAAAAAAACTTTTAGGAAGTTTTTGAAATACCACCAGATACTAAGGACAAAAATAAGTTGATATTCAACTGCTAACATCAGTAATAGACATATGGACTGAAACAGAAGTTGTCCCCACCTGTTAACTGTTTTTAATTCATAATTAAAAAGTGTTTTTGGAGGAGGGGCTGGAGAGATGGCTCAGCAGTTAAGAGCACTGACTGCTCTTGCAGAGGACCCGGGTTCGATTCCCAGCACCCACATGGCGGCTACGAACTGTCCTTAACTCCAGTTTCAGGGGAATCCGAAGCCCTCTTCTGACTTTCGTGGCACTGCATGACACGGGTGCACTCACATACATGCAGGCAATACACTCATACACATAAAATAAAAATAATAAAATATTTAAATTCAAATAAACATTACATATATATCAAATATTGTTTAAGCAGAAATTATAAAAAATATCCATAGAAGAGATAAAATATAAAATAATAAAAATTAAAGGAATGAGCCTCTCCAGAAACTTTTTTTCTGAAAGTAAAAACACATGATGGACTCTCAGGATTAGATAGCCTATCTTGGAGCTAGTCCCTGAGAACACTGATGTTTCCGTCCCTCAGCGTCAATTGATTGCTTGTAGCTCTTTATCTTGAGGTGAAACCCTGTGAAATGTCCCTATCCAGTTTAGCATGTTTATTGGGTTTTGTCATTATGCAGACTGTGTTATTCTATCATACTGTGGAGAGTTCATGGGTGCAGCTTTCCCATCATGTCTAGAATACTTTCATTAGCAACAGGTGTCTTGGG